CTCAAAAAAAATAAAATAAATAAATAAATAAAAAAGAAGACTGGATTAAAAAAATATGGTACATATGCACAAGGAATATTACACAGCAATAAAGAAGAACAAAATCATGAACTTTGCAGCAACCTGGATGGAATTAGAGTTTATCATACCTAGTGATCTTTCACAGAGACAAAGATCTGAGTATCACATAGTCTCACTCATAAGTGGACCTTGAACAACTACTGTAAAACTATAAGAAAAGGATTGGCAGTAGCGGGAAACTGCAGGTGGGGGGAGGTAAGATTGACAGTAGTTGAAATCTGCCTGGGGAAGGGGGGGCATACCTCATCAACAGGGGTACCTGCACAATGAATATTTGTATACCTAACCCTGAATTGTACCCAACAATTTTAAAATAAAAATAAAAAAAAGAAATCAAATGGAGTTTGCTGTTAGGTTTGTTTTTTTTTTTTTGAGTTGGAGTCTCACTCTGTCGCCCAGACTGGAGTGCAGTGGCCACTCCCAGCCACCGCAGCCTTGACCTGCTGGGCTCCGGCGATCCTTCCGCCTCAGCCTTCCGAGTAGCCGGAATTACAGGAATGTGCTGCCACGCCCGGCTGATTTTTTATTTATTGTAGAGATGAGGTCTCGCCAAGTTGCCCAGGTGGGTCTCGAACCTGCGGGCCCAGGCAATCCACTCACCTCAGCCTCCCAGAGTGTGGTATTACAGGGTGAGCCACCGAGCCCGGCTTGCTGTTAAGTTTTTTGAACTCACTTGGGACCTGTGATTCCTTTCTTCATTTCAATTTCTTTTTTTTTTTTAAGTCTGATTCTCACTCTGTTACCCAGACTGGAGTGCAGTGACATGATCACAGCTCACCACAGCCTCAATCTCCTGGGTTCAGGTGATCCTTCTGCCTCAGCCTTCTGAGTAGCTGGGACTACAGGCATGTACCACAATGCACCTGGCTAATTTATTTTTTATTTTTTGTAGAGACAAGGTCTTGCTGTATTGCCGAGGCTGTTCTCTAACTCCTGTGCTCAAGCAATCCTCCCACCTTGGCTTTCCAAAATGCTGGGATTACAGAAATAAGCCATCATGCCCTGCCCGATTTCTCCTTTTTGGAATGGGAGTATCTATCTTATGCAGAAACAGATAACTTACCTGGTTTCACAGATTCAGTCAGAAATTTTTGCCTCAGGATGAATCATACCTCAAGTCTCACCCACACTTGATTTAGATATTTAAATGAACTTGGAACTTAAAGTTAATGCTGAACTGGGTTAAAAGTCTTGTGCTACTAGGATGGAGGTGAATGTATTTTGTAGGCAAAAAAGCCATGAATTTTGGGAGGCCAGAATGTTCTGGACTGAACTGTGCCTTCCCCAAATTCACATGTTGAAGCTCTAACTCCTAGTACCACAGAATGTGACTATACTTGGAGTTAGGGCCTTTAAAGAGGTAACTGAGTTAAAATGACCCTAATCCAATATAAATTGTGCCCTTATAAGAGGAAATTTGCATGCACATAGAGACACCAGAGACATGAGTGCACGGAGAAAAGAACATGTGAGGACATAGCAGGAAGGTGTCCACCTGCAAGCTTCAGAGGTCTCAGGAGAAACCAAACCTGCTGGCACCTGAACTTGACTTCAAGTCTTCAGAGCAATGAGAAAATGAATTTCTGTTGTTTAAGTACCACAGTCTGTGGCATTTTGCTATGGCAGCCTGAGCTAAGACAAGGGGGTCTGTGGAGTTAGTGATGGGCATTTGTGAGGTCAGAGGTGGGAGGTCTATATGATGCCAATGAGGGTCTGTGAAATGAGTGAGTGAAGGTGGGGTCTGTGGGGTTAGTCACAGGGCATCTCTGAGGTTAGTAATGAAAGACCTTTCAGTGTTAGAGTCAAGATTTTTATTTCCTGATTTTAAAAATTGTCACCATCACAGACTTCCTGGCTTCTCTTGTACCTTGGTCCCAGTGGCTCCTGGAAATAGCTACACACAGCCCCTTTATTCTCTGTCTGTGGCCCTTTTTGTGCCCACCCACCAGCCTGAGTTTGACAGACCAATTAGTTTTGTCACTCCAACCTGTAGGAGCAGGATTGGACTCTTCTGGCAGGCAGAGAGCTCCTCACTGGCCAGTGTTTAAGCCTGGTCCACCACTCCTCAGTTCTGTTTGCCCTTGGCTTTTGTAGCTTTGGCGTCCAGCATGCTCTGGGCATGAGTGAGCTGCTTCACAGAATCGAATACGAGGACTCCGGGAAGCACCAGCCACAGGCCATTCATGAAGACAAAGTAAAACCAGAAGTAGAGGGGGTGGCCCAGTTCTCCATGTTGGAATCCGTCACGCTGCTCTGTCAGGAAGTAGAGCGTGTCCCCGTAGATCTGGCCTGTGGGAGGTGGGAGGGCAAGGAGAAGTCCCTGTGAGGAAAGGGAAGCTCTCCCAAACTCTCTATTCCAGGGCATTTTTCAAGTCATCACTCAAGGTGGCAGAGCTCAGGATCCCAAAATCTAAGAGCTAAGCTTTCTGAAACCATAGAGCTGAAAATCTGAGAAATCAGAAAAGTGAGAATTTCAGGAGTCAAAAAGAGAGCTGAGAATTTTTGAACTCAGGGGAGCTCATATCTTTTGAATTTAAGGAAGTTAAAAAATCCTAGAATTCAAGATAGCTTAGGATTCCGGGACGAAAGAGAACTCATACTTCGAGAACTAAAGAAAGCTAACAATTTAAGAAGACAAGAAGACTGAATCTCAGATGAAGGAATCTCAGAATCCTAATCCTGGAGGATCCAGGGGCTTCTTGCCATCATGGGCCACCTCATGTAAACTTCACAGGAGACTTTGTGACCAGCAGGAGAAAAAATGAACCCTCCTTGCTTGAGAGCACAGGCTCAGAGAGGTGCTTGGCTATTCCAGAACCTCAGGGAGTGTGTCATTCAATGTGACTCATCCCTGTATGGACACAATGGAGAGATACCACCCACAGGGATGCATCTGTGTCTGTGGATCCCTCATCAACCCCTCTCATTCTCAGTGTAGGCCTTCTCCTCACCCACAGAGACCACGAGCTGCAGGACAAAGCGGAGGGGATGCTGGCGGAGAAAGGCGATCACCACCCACACGCTGAGTGGTCCCCACAGGCAAACCGTGATGGTCTCCATGCATACTGTGAAGTTGTCACCCCTACAGGAGAAAGGAAGGGGAGGACACTGGCATCGGTGTGCTCTGCCCACAGGGTACCCTATTGGTGCTCTCTGACTCACCACCACCCCAAACCAGCGCAGGTCTCCACTGACAGAGGCAAACACTTACAGGATGTATCGGCTGTCTCCCTTGGCATACTCTTTCCCTGAAGAAAACAGGAGAGATACATGAAGAATAAAGGCAGAAAAAGGAACTGCAAGAAGCAAACTTCATAACCTCCTCATGCCTCTGTTTCCTCATCTGTGAAATGGGATAGCTGTTCAGATTCTAGTGGTGAATATATTTAAAACAAGACAATGGGTGCAAAGTCTGACACAGAACAGTGTTGCTGTGATTGGTACTCAAGAAATGTTTGTGGCATAAAAGGAGGCAGGTGTAGATGATGGAGTGAGTGAAACAGTCATTAAGAGAACAAGAGTGAGAGTAAGAACAAGAGAGAGTGGGCCAGAGAGAGCATGCAGGTGAACAGATAAGTGAATGAGCGAGCAGATAATAAGAAAAAGGCTGGTTGTGGTGGCTCATGCCTGTAATCTCAGCACTTTGGGAGGCTGAGGTAGGAGGACTGAACCTAGGAGTCTGACACCAGTTTGGGCAACAAAAATCAGCCGGGCATGGTGGTGAGTACCTATAGTCCCAGCGACTCAGGAGGCTGAGATAGGAGGATTGCTTGAGCTCAGGAGTTCGAGGCTGTAGTGAGCTGTGATCGTGCTACTGCACTCCAGTCTGGGTGACAGAGTGAGATACCAACTCAAAAAAAAAAAAAAAAAAAAAAAGAAAAGAGAGAAAGAAAAGAAAAAAAGACCACCCAATACAAGAATAGGCAGGAGAGGTGAATAGGTTCTTCACAAAAGGTTTCCAAATGACCAATAAACAGATGAAAGGTGCTCAAACTTTCATTAGTCACTAAGGAAAGCAAATTAAAACCATAATGACATATCACTCACATCCACTAGAATAACTACAGTTTTTCCCTTGATGAGGATGCAGAGGAACTAGAATTCTCCTACATTGCTGGTGGGAATGCAAGTGATACAACCATTTTTGAAAAGTTTGGTAGGTTTTCATAGAGTTGTATACACACCTATCTTAAGACCCAGCTATTCTACTCTTACAGATTTACCCAAGAGAAATGAAGGCAGAGGCCCACACAAAGCCTTGTATTAGAATGTTCACAGCAATTTTATTCATGAGGTCAAAAAAGAGTATCGTTGACAACAGCAGAAGGCTGGGGAGAAAATGCTCATTAGTACTTAGACAAGTCAAATAATTCCGTAACATTTATGCTTTGAAAACTCTTCATGAAATGATGAGGTGTGACCTAGTTTAAAAAAGCAAAGTTCAGAAATAAACATAGCACATTACCATTTGTGTAAAAGGGGAGAAAAACAAATAATGATGATGATGATGATAATAGTAAACACATGGCATGCACCATTTGCTAAACACTGTTCTAAGTACTTTACATATAGTTGAGTCATCTCCCTTTTACAATTGAGGAAACTGAGGCTTATGTTGTTATTTATGTGTAAATAAACTCTGGAAGGAAACATAAACAACTATTAATAGTGGTTAATAGTGTTTGGGGAAATTTGGTGAATAGAAGGCAGATTTTCACTGCATATCTCTGCATGGTTTTTTGATCCATATGAATACATACGCAGCAAAAAAAAAAGTTAAATAAATTTTTTAAATGAATTAATGGAAGGAAGATTGGTGGGTAGGTAAACATACAAGCCAATCCCTGCCCAGAAAATTCCCTCCCATAGCACATGAAAGAACTTAGGACTCACAGAGTTGGGATAAGAAGGCTTGGTCTCCAAGAAGCTCCTCATAATAGAGAATGAACCAGCCCTCAATCACCAGGTGAATGAATCCACACACTGCAAACCAGCACAGGGACAGTCGCCGCCAAGTCCCCAGTGGGATGACTGCAGCACGACCCGACAACAGCCATGTGATCACGACTAAGACCCCAGAGACAGAGAAGAGACCAACCAAGATATGCCAGGTGGGACGGTCATTGGGCACAAAGCTGTCTAGCCTTAGGTGCTGAGGCCAGTATGGGTGCAAGGGGCCAGCATTGGTGGTCATGTCTTTGTAGGCTGATGGCTGCGTGTGGACAGACAGGGAAGAGAAAAAGGAACAGAAAAACCTAGACAAATAGAAAACACACAATGAGATAATAAAATCAAACCCCAATAGCTTATTACCATAAGAAATGTAAATGGACTGAATTTACCAGTTAACAGACAGGATATAACACTGGCTTTAAAATAATCGAATTATCTGCTGTTTTAAAGCATGACTAAAATCATAAGGCCACAGAGACACTGGAAGCTTATTCCAGCCCTTTGGGAGCCACATTATGATGTGACAGAAACAGGTCTGGTCCCAGCTCTCAGAAGTCGCAGTTTAGTGAGGGATACACAGGAACCTAAGGCCTGGTCCCAGTCAGCAGGGGTCAAAGTCTTGTGGGGGACACGTGGGAAGGACACCTGATCCCAGACCTCACTGGTCACAGTGTAGTGAGGGAGACACAGGACTAGGACTCGTCCCATTCTTCTAGGGTCACAATATTGTGAAAGAGTCACGATCACCAAACCTGGTCCTAGCACTCATGGGTCACAATTTGGTGAAAAATACAGGAACCAGGCGTGGCCTCGTTGTAGGGGTCACTGTATTGCACTGTTCCACGGAAAGCTATTCCCTTCCCCATAGTCCTAGAAACCGCAGCAGGGGGAAAGAGGAGAGAAAACGACCAGAATTACATCCCCCAGGACCAGCACCTGGAAAGCAAGCGCCTCCACGCAGTAGCGTGCAACGTCACCAGCCAGCAGGAAAGAAGGGAAGTGGAAGGCTGGTGTCCAGCGCGCAGCGCTCAAGAAGGAAAGGAGGGTAAAATACAAAGACCACCAATCAGAACTGGACCCTCCAGTCCAGCTGCCCAATGAGAAGGCGGATCTTCTGTCGTCCGGACAACCGCGCGGTAGCCGGGGGTCTGGCGCAGACAAGCGGAGGCGCGGAGGCGCGGAGGCGGTGTTGGGGAAGGGGTTTAGCGCGGGAACGCAGAGGGCTGGCTGTCCAGCTGAGAAGAGCTAAGGGATGGGGTGGCGGGCGGGGCGGAGGTCACTCACCCAGTCGCGCAACCGCAGCGGCCTCTCCCACAGGATCTCCGCTGCTCTAGGCTGGCTCTTCTGTTTCCTAACATCCTTAGTTAGGGTCCATCCCCTCACGGGTCACCCGCCTTATGGAGCGGGCCAATGGAGAAATGAAAGGAGCGGCCGGTGCAGCTCCCAACCAATAGGCGCTCTCCGCGTGCCGCAGGCCCCGCCCACACACGCGTGGTGCCATTTTCTCTGTTGGCTGAGACCGAATCAGGAGCGAAGTGGAGGCAGGGCGGGGCCAAGGCTGGTGGACGTTCTTTGGCCCGTAGCCAACTTGCTTGCGTCTTGGCTTCAATGTCCCCTTATCAGTCAGTCAGAATGGGGAATCATTAAGGTCTGCCTCCTCTTCGTCTGCTGATGAAGTCAGCGTCGCGTTGTGTCCTCTCACTTCTCCCCTTGTTTTCTAGGTAGAAATTTAATATTACAGGCCAATCACATCTGCATACTGCAACCTCCCCCACGCCCCGCAGCTTTCTAGTGCTCAGAACTCCTGTCCTAATAGCAGCGGTCATCCTCACCTCTCCCGATCTCGTCAGAAGAACCAGTCTGAACTCAGGCCCCTCACTCCTGCTGGCCAATTGGTATGGAAACCCTCAATCTCCCTGTGCCAATTCTAAAGAGCCAATCAAAACGCCATAACCCTAAACCAGTGGGCACCCAGACCAAGCAATCAATCAGAATCCCATGGCTGGGCGTGGTTGCTTCACGCTTGTAATCCCAGCGCTTCGGGAGGCCAAATCGGGAGAATCACTGGAGGCCAGGAGTTAGAGATCAACTTGAGCAACGTAGCGAGACCTCCTTTCTATTGAATTAAAACAAAAAATGTATTTAAAAAATCCAGACCCATCCCAGACCTCCCATTTAATTAGAACCTACAACCTTTAGTCCTAAGTATAAATAAGAATCAACCCTTCGCCTTGCTTTCTCTCCTCTCTGTCCCAGTCAGAGCAGTCAGTCAAAATGGGGATCCTTCAGTTTTATCTGACAGTATCAGGCCTCCCCTACACCCAACTATGCAATCTGTCCCCACCCCACTTAAATCAAGCAGGACCAAACATTTTGGGAGGCAGAAATGGGAAGATAGCTTAATCCCAGGAGTTTGAGGTCAGCCTGGGCAACATAGCAAGACCTTGTCTCTACAAACATTTATTTAAAAAAATTAGTCGGTCATGGTGGCACACATGTGTAGTCCTAGCCACTTGGGATGCTGGGGTGGGAGGATCATTCGAGGCTGCAGTGAGCTATGATCAGGACACTCCAGCCTGGATGACAGAGCAAGATCCTGTCTCTAAAAAAACAAAACGACACAAAAATAGGACCAGGACCCTGCCATCAGGCTCATCATTCAATCATGAACAATGGTAAATTAAGCATGAACCAATCACAGTCTGCTCTCTCTTCATGGTTTCAGCTTCCAAATCTTTATCCATGCTGTACCCTCTTCCTTACTCACTCCTATTCCCCTCTGATCAGTGAAGAAAGAGCCTATTGTATATTTCCTACTTTTATTTGTCAATAACAAACTGTATATAAAAAGGAAGAAGGAAGCGGGGAGGCTGTAGATCTCCCCCTCTCTGTTTCCCCAAGCATCCCCCACCCCTAGGCCTTAGCAGGGACCACCCCTTCCCGCCTTGTGGTGGGGTGGGGATTGACAGGCATGGAAATGGGGTGTGTGTGTGTGTGTGTGTGTGTGTGTGTGTGTGTGTGTGTGTGTTGGGGTGTTAGGGGTTAAGGATGGAGAGGGGTCAAGGAGTAGAGAGAGGGCCTTCCCTCATCCCCCATCAGAGCTGGCACCCTGAGAGGGGTCTTGAGAGGGCTATGAGGGTCCACAGAAATGCCTCAGCCTATGAGACGGTAGAAGATCCAGCATCCAAAAGTGACCCAGTGACTGGCCCAGCTGAGCTCTGACCACTTGTGGACAGTGTATGCCATGCCGTAGCCCTGTGGGAGAGAAAAAGATGACAGTCCCACTCAGCAAGGATAAAGAAGGTCTCAGGAAAAATCCATCCTTTGCCCAAGGACATTTCTGTGACTGCATTTCTGTGACCTCACCCTAGGTGAGTTCCCATAGAAAGGCCTGTGTACATATGAAAGGTGACCAGATATAGTTTTTGTTTTCTTCTTTAAAAATCGGTTTAAGAACAAGGCAAGGCAATCCCACTCTCTGACCTGTAATCTCCCTAATGTATAAAAAGCTCCTAGAAATAAATTCTTTTTGAGTTGGATTCTCACTCTGTCACCCAGGCTGGAGGGCAGTGGCACGCTTCTGGCCACTACAGCCTTGACCTGCTGGGCTCAGGCGATCCTTCCGCCTCAGCCTTCCAAGTAGCTGGAA